ATAGTACGAGTTTCGATTGCACTTCTTCACAGTGCAATTCAAGCGCTGGGCCTTCTTCACGATTTCTCTGACTCGGTCTGCTCCAGGTGATTCTGACTCCGACTCTGAGCATGTCCTCTCTGGTGCCCGGTATGCGGAAGGGTTTGGCCTCGCAGGTTAGGGGCCCAAGAGCAAAAGTGTAGCGGTCCAAAACTGGGTTAGGATCCGAGAGATCTGATTAATCAAGATCTTCCCCCGGGCGTTACCTGTACATTGCATCAGCCAGCATCAGCGTGCTTCAGAGTGAACAACAAACCGACTCCGTCGATAAAATTGAAGTTTGCATACCGACTGTCCATTTTGACACTCGCTGTGCCACATGATCCGGTACGTACTTTTCGGGCCTCCAATACTTTTCAGTGCGCACCGTGTGCAGTGAATGTTGCACGGTCACGTGGTGCACCTTGTCCACGTCACCGATTTGGAGATATAGTTGGCATTGATGCTGATGCATGCATCCGCCTTTGACGTGAGCTCAGCTATCGCCTCATGGCGCCAAGTATTCTTGCAACCCTAGAAGAAAACTCAAAAGACTGGCTTTGATACATAGGTACAAGAGATGGATTATTGCTGAGCCCGTGCTGAGCTCGTTCTGAACCAGTGAATGAATACCAACCTTTGCAGGGAGGGATGACGGCGCTGATCTGAACTTCGGAAGTAGTACTGAAATCGACAGGTGTGTTGTCCAGGAACAATGCATCTGCTCCTGTCTTCTCGAGCATGGAGGGCTTGGTCTCTAGCAACCAGGCTGCACTTCAACCCTCCAGCTGGGGCCTTGCCCAGCCTATCTCTCTCTAAATACTGTGCCGCCATTCTCCAGAATTCCTCAAACCCTAGTTTGAACAGCTCATTGAGCAGCTCGCCGTCTGCTGTCCGCACAATGGCCACCCAGGAAAAGCCCCCGGTTGTGCAAGAGCTCCTTCAGGCGAATGAAAAGTACAAGAACAGCTTCACCAATGGTGACCTGCCACTTCCCCCTGCCAAAAAGGTGGCTGTTCTGGCCTGCATGGACGCGCGCTTGGATCCCGCCCGGGCACTGGGACTGGAGGTGCGTAGACTTGCTGACTTAGTGAATGCTGATGGTGGTGTTAAGTTTACAAAGAGCAATGCTTTGAGCTGCTGAAAGCAGGAATGCCGACATTAGTATGTGCATTCTTTCATTTTTCGAATGTTCCCTTCGATGCCCTTTTCGAAGACAGGAATGAACAAGAGTAATCAAAGGCCCACTTTTTTCTTCTTCGTTTTTCAGCTCAAAAGCGATCCGAGCGCGCTCTAGCTGAAGCGATTTTGTCTCTTTGGTGGTGGCAACACTCTTCATTATTGATGGAATCACAGCTCGTTATAGTATCGATAATTTCAGCTCACTCCGTAATCAAGCTACTAAACAACTTCTGCATCTTTGTGTACTTTGTGTACTATTTGTCAATCTTGAGATATGAGAGCCTTGCTGAGCTTGCAAACCTGAGTGGCCAACATGACTCCATTTCCTTCATAGGAATATGTGCTACAAGAGTGTCTGAGCTTAAGAAACTCTCTGTGTCTGGATATCCTGCCCGTTGCCTGCGTCCAAGAATCAGTACAACCGAGCACAGCGGCAAAGAAGAAGAGCTGTGAAGCCTCATACCCAACATTTCAGGCTTTGCAGAAGGAGACCCTTGGCTTTTCATCGGCGATGATCGGTACCTACTCTGATCACCGCTGTTTCATACAACACTTGAGTCAGACAATACTTACACCTGGAAAAAGTCCTTGATCAAAGTAACGTGATATTGCAGGAAGGTGACGCCCATGTCATCCGGAACGCAGGCGGGCGAGCGAAGGATGCCCTGCGGTCGCTGATCATATCCCAAATCCTGCTGGGGACCAAGCACGTGGTCATCCTGCACCATACCGACTGCGGGATGCGCACCTTTTCGTAAGTGTTCGATTTGAGTCAAAACAATCAATACATGGGACCGTCTTTTGTCTGAAAGCCAGGGATGTGCTAGGGACAGAGTACAAGAAGACATCTTACAAGCGCTCCCCGAGTATGTCCCCATCCAGGTATTATGGATAAGGAGGCGAATCTCTTAAACGTCTGAAGCGTTCAAATAAAAAGGCCTCTACTGTCACTTGTTGGGGGCGAGCAGGCATTCACACGGCCCTTTCCAGCGGTGTGGGTAAGACCCACTGCTGTGGTATTAGAGAAACGCAGCCCGGAGGAACAAGGACCACATTTAAAAAAAGACCGCAGTTCTGCCTGTCACGAATCTCTGTTTTCCTGCCGGGACGCTGATATCAAGACGTGCTATTGCCCGCGTCACATACCTGGACGTCCTTCGTTCAACGTCAGGATCAAGTCAACGCGGATGCTGAACTTCGAGGTCCGAGAAACATGAAAGTGCATGAGCCCAACATCTTTTGCTCTCTCCGAACAGGAACGCCAACGTCCGGACCAAAAGTAAGGAGCACGTTGGGCACAAGTCAAGGATACGTCGGCTTCCATTTTATCGACCTCTCAAGTTTGTGAAAATTTTAGGTTCGGGTGCTTCAAAAGCCCACACGCTAGATGGTATTGCACATTCGGTTAAACCTGGCCGCCTGACCAGAGTCCTTTAGAGTCCTTTTTGAGCTGAACGCAAAACTTTGCCCGATGCGCAGATCTTGGACCCTGCGATGACCCACAAGCCTCTCATCGAACGGCCCAAGTTCTGCTGCTCGAGAAACGTTCTGCGACTGGCTCGATTTGGACTCGGGTCAGGCGGCCAGATTCGACCAAATGCGCAATACGCTTCGTTGATGCGGCAGACGCCGAGCAGGCCAGGATCGAGAAGGGCGACGGGGACGGATTGAAGCAAGCGTCGGCTTCAATGATCTCTGAGTTTCGTAATGGATTGATTTTCGGGTCCTCGAAAGGTTCAAAGGCTCAACCGTCCGCTCTCCTTGATGCAGGAACGGCGAGGTTCGGGCGAAGAACAAGAGTGTGACGGGCAAAGGTCGGACACTGCAAAACTCATTCCTAATCGTTGAATTCATGTTGACGAGACCTCAAAGTTCCAAAGTCCGAGAGCTTGAAAAGCCTGAAAGCTCGAAGCTTCCGTCCACTCTATGCAGGAATGCCGACATTCAGGCGAAGATCAAGGAGCGCGACGGGCACGAGTCGGACATTCCGGACTTCCTTCCCTATCCGGACGACGAATGGGGCGTCCGGGAAGACATCCAGCTCATCAGAGACTCGCCGCACGTGCCGAAAGACGTCACCGTGCACGGGTTTATTTACGACGTCAAAACGGGGGGGCTCCGGGAGGTGACGGCGTAACCCCCCGGAACGAGTGTCCAGGTGAGCGCAAAGAATAGCTGTAGGAAGTAAGATTGGTTTGGGGTTGGGTTTAAGGTGGGTTTGACTTCGGGTTTCGTTTTGGCTGTGGGTTTGGTTTTGGCTTTCGGTTTGGGTCGGAGTTTGTGCCAATCGTGGCAGACGGGTGCGGTCGAGACCCTTCTTGACCCGGGTTTAGCCACGCAGGTTTGGGCATTGACCGCCGGGAAAAATATTTGCAATTTGACCATGCTTCCTTATTTCCAACACGACCTACGGTGCTTCTGGTGAAAGAAAAGCTCGACAGAGCGAGTGCAAAGTGTCCAGGTTATGCTACCCTCTTTGACTTCAGCTCTTTTAACAGTGCCAAGAAGGATTCAAGCTCAGTCACCGGAGGGGATTCCTTTTGCAACCACCGTAGTCCGGTGTCAGTAAAATGCCGCTTCAACAATGTATTGAGTATTGGATGTGCATAGGAAAGCTTTTGCCTGTGTATCAATCAGTATCTGGCGTAAAGTGTCGGAGAGATCGGGTTCCGCTGCCAACGTCCGAATCGAAGTTCGTTTTTGTCATTGTATCCTGAGTTTCCCGCCTGGTTGTTTGGAGCATTCCCGCAGGAAGCTACTCTTTTATAGATAATTCCCTAAAAGATACTCTTTCGGATTTCCCCTCAATTTCTAAAACGTTATTATTAGTGTCAAAGTTCGCCGCCAATTCTGCCTCTGGAATGGCCCGTCAGTAGGTGCCGTCCTTCGACGTTGAAGAAGCAGGAACTGACGTGGCGGGGGGGGAAAAGGGAGGGGGAGAGAGGGGGGGGGGGAGAGGAAGGTGGTTGGGGGAGCGAAAAGGTGAGGGATGGGCGGATAAAAAGAAAAGGTACAAATGATCAGAGGACGTCACCTGTAGGGCAATATGCAGCGGTACTCCGTGAAAGAAGCTGCCGGCATCCCGTCCGTAATCAGGTCTGAAACTGATCAGAAATGTACGCAGAGGCGCGGGAGTAAAACTCGTCAACGTTTAAACGAGCCCTGTCTTTACAGACGGTATTACATCTCTCTTTGCACTCGACCTGATGAGCTGTTGAGCTCGGCATGCTCAAGTCATACAAGCAAGAGGGAAGAGAAGGCAAAAAAGACAAGTCGTCTTACGGAATTTGTTTTGTTCCATTGCAGCGGATGCACGCCCTTCAACCAGCTCCGCCTATGTCGGACAGGGACACAGGTGGCCCATCTGTACAGATTGCTTGCAAACGTGTTGCATTCGTCGTTAAATTTTCAAAGACTTCGCCGTGGGACTTTCGAAACTGTTGCAATGGTTACTAGACAAGTGGTTAAGTTTCAACCATGCAGCTAGCAAAGGAGAAACTGAGAAGGTTGTTAGCTTTGCATAGGCATGCCAGCCAGTGCTTGCTTTTGTTGGCCGATCCGCCACACGAAACGAGTTTGATCACACTATAGCTGTGATAGGGCTGTGATCATTCCGCATATATTCTAACAGTGCATCTAGACGGTCGAAGCCTGAGAAGCGTTCGAGCATCTATAGGACATTGTTCTTTGACGGTAGATGGTTGTATGACATACTCGCGATCCAAGCTAGAGCCGAACAATAATTCAATTCAATGCTGTAAGTCTGTACCGTCACTCAACATGTCAAATAGCCGCGATGGATGGATGTGCATCACTGTCGAACCAGATGCATGCAGCCAGGCTCAGGCACCCCAGTGGCTGATGACATGATCACTAGGATAGCCTGAGAGCCGGGACAGACGTCTGTCCCGTAGCTAGAGCCGGCGCGTCATGGTGACCTACGATCATGCATGCCGCACGCCCACCCATAGGCTGGGCCAGCCTCAGTCACTGCTACAAGTAGGCAATATGCAGACGTTGACGATCAAACATGAAAGTTGGCTACCATATATATATATGCAGTACGTATCATACTAGTATGTAAAGAGACATGTTAATATGTGACGTCACGCCTCGCTCCCGAGCGAAGCTTAATCCTGCTCCGAGTCCGATCACCATGATATCTATAGTAGTGCATGCTAGAGCTGCAGTTCTAGCAAAAAGTGGTCCTCGCTACTCAGTTTTCTGCATCACATTGCTGTTGATTTAAGCAATCAGACGTATGTTGGCAAAGTACTATAGACGGTCACGGTGACACACTTCTACCAAAACCGACCCCAAGCTGCCTTGAGCATGCAGACGGGACCATCAGTTGTCGGTGCCTAGGTGAACCTTGACAAACCGTCATGAAACACGAACGTAGATTGAGATTGATTGGTGTCAGTGGAGACTGAGCGTGGCTGATCGCTCTCGGCAACACTGTAAGCAACTTGTCCGATGCGGCTCAAGAAAGAACAGTACTCAAGTTCAGGAGAAGAAGGCTGGGCAACAACAAGCACGGGTTCTCCATCGTCTCTCAGCCATTAGCTGCTTGTCTCTTTTGCAACCACCAACTTATGCGGTAATGGGTTGCCAAATTGCGTGGAGGCATTCGTGAGCCCGAAAGGTGCTCCTTTTTGCACGTGAGAGTGAGCACTCGGAATAAGCCACCTTAATCCTGAGGATCCGGCTGATCTGACTCAAAACTAAGCAACGAAGGTCGCTAGAGGGGTTGATGGCTGGCCGTTCATCCGGGAGGGATCAACGTCAAATTCAATGTCAGACATAGACCCCCGTCCATAGAAGCAGGAATAAGGAACCGAACCCCTGCAAGTTAGAAAAGGGCTTGTGAGTTGTAGCGAAAATCGACGCACTGGGAAAGTGACGGACTTGACTTCGAGTAAGTGTACGCGGGAACGAACCAAAAGGGAAGGCACAAGGACTGTGCGGTAACATTGTCAAAGCGGCTCCTCAGATTAGCGACCCCAAAAAACAACTGGATTGAACGGTCTGGTCCGAACAGCACTACCGATAACCTCTCATGATTGGCTTCGCAGGCCGAAAATGAAAACGGACGGCGCATACTTAGAAAGTCGCCTTTTCAAAAAGCTGACAGATTGACTTCTCGCTTGTGACGTCACGCCGTTGTAGTTGGGTCCCTGTCTGGGAGCCCAAGAGTGAAATGCATGCCTCCGTTTCCGAAAATGACAATGTGTTTGTCCGCTATTCCCTTCATCGAGCTAGCTCAAGGGCGATGAGCCGACTGGGGCTCTGCGCGAGTAAATCTGGCCGTCTGAACCGAACCCAATTCCCGGTCTGTCGATCAAAAGGTTGAGCCGGTCGATGGCCAGGATGCAGCCATAAGCCGCCCCAGCTGTTTGTGATTGGCTGGTCGCCCGATTCACACGGCCAGGTTTGACTGAATTCAGATTACCGTTATAGCTCAGAAACTTCGCCAAACGGTTCAAACCTTAGATGCGAGTAAATCTTTCAAATAGAATGTTCCAGAACATAAAGGCTTGCATTTCTGACCGATTACGACCGTTGTAAAGGAGCCTAACGCCGCGGTCAGGAAGCTAACTTCAAGAGCCTAATAAAGACTTGAACGAGTCTGAACAGCATCCAGCGGAGCACTCTTTCGGGGCGCTTACATCTCTTCGAAGGGCCACTGCTTGCCGAAGTCTTCATGCTTTGGAAAAGAAAGTCTTTTAGCTTGCGATAAGCGGATGTGTGCTCATTGGACATTGCCAGGGCTCATCAAAAGAGTCTATCAGCAAGCAAGGCGAGTCCACAGCCTTCTCATTCAGATCCAATCGCTCACCAGAAAAGGAAAGGGTTGTTGAGGACAACCAAGAGCCAATGAGATGGTGCGACACAAGTTGGAAGAATGCACGGACGAGCCGGACCGTCAAAAAGAAAAGCGAAAAGCTTATCACAGACTTTGAGGGATTACACGCAAATTTGACGCCTCACCAGCAGAACGGAGGCCACGCCTCCCGTCGCAAGCTCCCGCACTATATTCCGGCTGAACTTTGATGACGTCACCTCGTATCTGCATGCAGATGACGTGGATCCTATGAGAATTGGTCGGGAGTTCTTTCCACGCTGGATTGTGGGTTTGAGAAGACTTTGTTACGCTGAGCACTGCCATCACAAACGAGGATGACGTCAGCAGTGCGATCAGCAACGGTTTCTCTTGAGCAGACACCCCAAAGCACGGGCCGCCAGCCTTGCCTGGATCGAAGGGCCAGCACGAGGCAGAGTTGGCGTCAGCAGATGACGTGTTATCCGATGAAGCTTCAACCCTTCCAAGAGAGTCATTCTAAGCTTGGAATATCAAGCAGAAACGCCTAGTGTCTGAACCAGGATGCGACTAGGCAATGCTGATTTGCGGACATTCTGATACGGTTGACGTGCAGAAGTCATCTTTCCTGCACTGGATCAAGGACTGAGACCTTCTGTGGCGCATCTGACGAAAATCAAGGACGAAACCCTGACTCTCAAGCAGCGCAACTATGGGGCACCAGAAAGCCAGTCCACCCCAGGACGTACGGGTCCACTACCGTCATTAATCGGAAGCAGAATCTGCGAAACTCTCGATGAGAGGTTGCAAGACTCTGGGGCTGAAAGTCTGTCAAACGAAGTCAGGAAGTTAGGCCTATTCATGGTGAAGGATTGCTCTGAAATACAAGAGACAGCGAGCTCACATAACGAGGGACGATGTCAAGAGCAGGCCAAGATGAAGTCACGACTTGAGCCTTTAGAGAGGTTTGCTCGAATGGAAAGAGACAGGGCACTCACATGAAGAAGGATGCAGTAAAGAGCAGACCGAGCGTGATGAGGACCACAGCGAGCAGGGGGTAGAGGACGGGGTCGACGGGGGAGTGAACTCTTTGCATCTCCGAAAGCGCCTGCGGACAGTTGGACAGTTGTGGTCAATGGATTGAGTTGCACAGAGTCTAAGAAGCCGCTACATTTGTACGGTCTGGGGTTGAGCGGCAGGCAACGGGGGAGCGGATACTTTGCAGCTCCGAGAGCCCCTGCGAACTTTTATATCTAGCGAGTTGCGTTGCGCAGAGTTCAAGCAGCCGGTAGATCAGTTTGACAGTTGAGCGGCGGTCAAAGGAGGAGCGGATACTTCACAAAACTGAGAGCGCCCGCGCAGTTTGACAAGTTTGTGATTAGCAGGTTTGGCATGGGGTTGAGAAGCCGGTAGGTTAGTCTTTCAGGGGTTGATTTTCAGCCAGCTTGAGTGGAGATCAGCAGTTGAAGGGTGCCGATCGTGGATAGGGCTTGAGAAAAGGTGACCGATATAGCAACCAAGACATTGACACCTGCAACGCTGAAGATGAGTAGTCCAAGTATCACAATATGGCGTGCCACAGAGTCACGAGGGGAGGTATGAATATGCTTCAAATCTGCAATTGATTTGGCTCGCCGGCAAGCGTCCAACGCCATCAATCTTCAATTGAGAGAAGCAACCACCAATGGTGGCAGCAAGTTGAAGAAATCAATCTGGGTGCAGTCAAAGATCTTATGATCTACATTGAGTAAGAAAATCACGAGTTTCAAGTGGTAAAGCAGCTGCGCGCATAGAAGTCAGAAGTCCCCAATTTCAATTTGTCCTGAAAGTCCCATGAGTTCAAAGAGCAACCCCTATCTTGATAGAAGATGGTCAGGGAACCCTAAAATTAGCTGCAATGCAGCACAGGCAGATAGTAACCTGCGCCGTTTTAAAGTTTCAACTTAAGCAAGATACTTTGTCAAACTGCCACATGACCGGATCAAAACAACAACGAATCACCCATTCTACACTCTGCCCTTTCCTAGCATTGCGAGTCAACCACATTCTCTGCAGTCACTGAGCAGATCGATGAACAGACATTGGTGTCGCAACAACTCGCCAGCAGCGGTCACAATGGACGATCGTATGCAGCTTGTCAGAGGTTTATTTGTCGATCTCTGCAGGTCTTATATCAGCGCCACTTGATTTACCAGCAACGGAGATGACGAATTTGTTACAGCAAATGAAACTGAACAAAGGACTCGGATGCCTTCGCACTCACCATTGCAGCCTCAGCACCAGCATCAAGGGCCGCCAGGAACAGAAGCTGCCAACCGAATTGAAATTACGGTACAGCTGCCTACATTCCAAGGCTGAGTCAGTGCATGGTCCTACATGATCACGTTTTGAGACCTTTAGCGCTTCCTGCGTGCATACTTGGTTTACTGGCCGATTTGAAATTTCTTGAGGTTCTTTTGCGAGAAATCACTGTGGAAGGGACGGAGGCAGACTTGGAAAAGGTGTGAGCCGATCCTTAGTTTAAGGTAGCGTCAGCACGCCGTTTGTCGCAACAGGCACTGCTAACTTAGACTATAATCGGACTAGTACAGGGTGAAAGCCATTCACCGGTTTGACAACCGCCGCCAAATTTATCGTCAACTTCACAGTATTAAAGAGTGATCCTCAGTGTCAGTGCTACGCGAGCAAAGACAAAAGCGCTCGCGCACCAAGGGACTTCAACTGATCGAGCGAGTCTGGACTCTGTACGTCGATCAAAGACCGCAAAAGGAAGTCCGGTACCTACCTACGGTATTTCGAGAGATTTTAGGAAGTCACTTGACTTGGCGACGAGTTTGCCTTTCAAAAGCGACCGGATAGGAATCAAACCTCTCCTCGTATTTGACAGCTGACTCCGGATTTACAGGACTGGTTCCGAGCGAAAGAAGGTGCTGCCTACCAGGTGCTAGGACTACCTATACTAGGTCCACATGGGTCCGCACGCCGGAAACCGGTTTGTGGACACTAGCTGCTTATTTAAGGGGGAGTTCCCATAAGCGGCCCATAAGCTGCAGGATCTGGTGCCAGGATTTGAAGATTTGCCAGCGAGTTATCGATATTTCTGAGTATCGACAGCGGTCAGGGACTCGAGGACCGCAACCACTTTGACTTCAGCCTGCTTCAGCCTTGCATAGGTATACCTACCTAATACCGGTACAGACCTAACCGGATTTAAGCATTTAGCATTCCGCGGAAATTACGCGGGCGCGAGCCCGTGGTAATTGGACTGGTGAAGGTTGCCCGGTAGCTGCTTATTCGACCGCGGGCCCTTCCAAGTTGTTTCGCTCCCACGCCGGAGCGGAATCTTCTGATCTTAATTTATGGATCGCCCTGCATTCCGGGATTTCAATTGCCAAGGTGTCACAACCTGATTTGACGAATCAGAGCAGGATATGAACTTTGAAGGGAGTTGCAGGACTCAAGGACCAGTCGGTGGTATTTAATGGGCTTACCGCTCGGTAATGTGGTGGGCTAGCAGTTGCCGTGACTGCGCTGTCCCTAGTTACCAGCTTCCTGCGGTGAGCAGTAGATGAGCCACCGGGCACCTTAGATATCGTGGCAGGATCGACGGTAGATACAATAATGTCTCGGGGGTTGAGATTGGTTTGAGATTCAATCGGACGCTCTCGATGCTATCCGGACAACTAATTGGAGATGTGAACTTGCTCGGTGGAGCCCCTCAGCTTTTAGGCTCCAGCCGAGAAATAAGCCGTCCTACAGAGACTCTCTGCGCTGTACCACCATATGGTCCCTACATTGTAGGTACAGACAAGCCTAGCTGGATTGAAGTTGCAAACAACGATGGCTGATGACCTTTTCCAAGTTCCAAGTGCTTGAATTGGATCCTAAATCATTTCTTTGCTGCCACATTTTGGCGCGAGAGAACCGTCACTGACTATGAAATCTCGCAGAGAGCCCTCCTCCGAAATCGACGATGATTGTTGACTGAAGACTTTGCGGGCTTTGGAGTTCGCTTTCAATCGTTGAAGAGTTGCACGCTTTGGCTATCGACGGATATGAAGAATCACAGAATCAGGCAAACAGACGGATGACCGTCAGATGAACGCAATAATCGGCTACAGAAGATTGACACAGGTCAGAACCTGACTAGGGCTCAGCTTCCTTTGCTGGCGCGTGGCCGGCACAGCTTGATTATGCCAACGCCAGCTGGTTCCAAATCCAACTGTCTCGGAATCCAAGGCATTATGCAGGGGCCTCCGCAAATAGCCTCCTGCTCGACCGGCTATCATCTCGCTCAACGCCCACTTTCGCGGGTCAAGCAATATTATAAGCAGTGGACTTTATAGCTCTTTGAGGCCGTCGATCAAGGTCAAAGCAGCCCAACAGCCAAGCAGATGATGCCGTGTGGTCAAAAATGGGTGTCCAATTGGGGACACCCATAATTCAAGTTATTTAAAATTCGACACGTATCTTGACGCGTGCATGCACAAAACTCTCGGCCAAAATTACGAATATCAGTAGTGCTAAAGCTGATGACGAGAAACCTGCTTCCCGCGGCCAAGGTCCCGGAATATCAATAAAGCTGCACTAAGGGAAGGCCGTCCGATCAGATAGAATCATATATCGGACGGCTTTACAAAAATCGATATATCTCACGGCTCCCAACAAAAGGAAGAAGAACACCCAGCGAGTCAGGCTGGAAGGCTGGAACTTGGAAGGAAAGGGTTGACGTTACTATCCAACCATCATTAGTGTATGTAATTATGGAAATACATAAATTGTCACGTGAGCACGTGCTTATGAATTTCTCCAGGGGGCTCACGAAAGGATGCGTTCAAGCCCCCTGTGCCGGAACAAGCCTATCCACACCGGTGGAACATTGATCTGACAATCAACGCACGGAGCTTCCACTACCAGACCCAAGACCGGGAATTGGGCCTTGGTATTGGGTTACCTAATGGTTAAGTTGATCATTGGGTTTTGTATAAGAAATCAAAAGGCCATATCGGGGGGATATGCACTGGGGCACAATCTGTAAGACCTTGACCGTAAGTTCGACCTTTCTAAACATATTATCTGACTCGTAACGAGTTCTTATTTCGACGTGGGTTCAGTTAACCTATAGACTCTTGAAGTAGCAAACCAGGATCGCATCCCGTGCCCCGGGCGCCGGCCACGGTCACTTGGGGAGGACGGTTGGGAGGACGTTTTCTGGAAGCGCCGGGTGCGCGCAACGCAGAGAAGCGCCCCGCTAAAAAAAGAAGGCGCTCCAGCCTCCTGTGAAAGCGCTTCGTGATGGGACAGCTGACGCCGAAGACTGAGGAGCAAGAAGCCTGGCGTCGCCTTCGCCTCTGAATCAGGGCACCAGCATTAGCGGCGCCAATGGCACGAGTGCCAGTTTGCTCTTTTCCTCATTTTCCGATCCGCAGTCAACTGCGTCTTCTGATTTGGTGGCGGCCAAAGAGCCCTGCGCCCGCATTGCCTGTCGCGTCGAACCTGCGCCCTCAAGGCAATTGGCACCCCGCACGCCCCCCCATTGATCCGAAGCTTAAGCGAAAACGTGCAACGACCAGCCCTCCTGCGACCCTGCTCCCTGCATGGGCCTCCTGCGCTAGCGCCTCCGCCGCCCCCCCCGGCCGCAATGGCTTCCGGCGCCACCGATGCGCAGACCGCGGTCGCAATGCGGGCCGATGCGATCCGCCTCAAGAAGATGCAGAAGAAGGCGGCAAAGGCGGACAGCAGCAACCCGCTCTTCCTGCCCTCGCCCAATCTGATGGCATCTGCCCTCACGCACTTTTCCGGGGGGTCTTCCAAGGGGAAATCCAAGAGCAAGGGCACCCCCCGCCCCGCCGGCCACTCCACCACCCAGCCACAGATGTCATCTCCCGCACTCCAGAAGAGCTTCAGCATGCCTGCTGCACATCCTGGAAATGCCGAGAGGCATGCGGCGCTCCTCAGGGCGGCTTCTGCAAACCTCCCTCAGACCCGCCTGTCGCCCTTCTCGCCGTCGCCACCCCCCATCGACGCGGCATTGGCCGCGCTCAAAGCGATGCCCAGCTTCTCTTCCCTCCTGGGCTCCGCACCTCCGCTGTTCGGCGCTAACCGAGGCGGGTTTGCTGCTGACCCAGTAGCCAACATCCTGTCCCAGCTGCAGACCAACGCGCGGGCCGATCAGACCACGCAGCTGGTGGCCGCGCTGCTCCAGACCAATAAGAGCGTGCCAGGTGGCGGCGACATGCTGGACACTGTCGCGCAGCTGTTGCTCCAGCGCTACGCGGCGCAGCAGCAGCAGCAGCAGCAGCAAACCCTCATCCAGCAGCTGCTTAACCCAACCCCACCCCCGCTTTGGCAACAGCCCGAGACGTTCCAGATTCCGGAGCACGACGCCTCGCTCTCTGGGCCGTCGGATTCCTCTGAATCCGACGGCGGGTGTCCTCCCAGGGGGTCCTCTTCAGACGAGTCCGGCGACGAGTGCCTTCCCCAGTGCGACGCTGGAGTGTCAAACAGCGACGGGTTTGAGAGTTGCTCGCTGAACACTGATGGGTGGGGCTCTGAGTTGTGGCCTGAGGATGACATGTCAGCGCTGGACCAGTTGTTGGGGAGTGGTATGGGGTCGCTGCCGGATGCCAACCTGGACCCCATGACTTGGCCTGGTGAGTTCAAGACTTCTGCATTCCACCACTTTATTCAACATTCCTGCAGACTACTACTTTCTCTTATCTTTAGATTTGACATGTCATGGTGGTGTTTTTCATAAGTGTTCGTTGTCCTTCACTTTCTCGTCTTTCTGTCATTCGTAATCTCTTTCCTCCTTGCTGTAACTCCACATCAGTTCTCTCTTCCTGCAAGTTTCTCGCCTTTGCATCTGCAGGGTTGCCTCTGAGAACGTTTTCCATGCTTGGTGGTGTCTTATCAAACCTTTTTGAGACTTTTGACAAGTTGTGATTTCATGTCTAGTAACTTGTTTCTTCCTTGAAGTGGTCAGATCTCTTGGCAAACTGGCTTTTGTGAACCTCCTTGTGAATCGTTATATCTAAAATAGTGGTTGATGAGGATTTAAAGTTGATCCACACAAGGTTGTCAGAGTCTGGTGCATCAAGTCTTTCGCCAGATCAAGCAATAACCAAGTTCGATCCTTGTTCTCATTCCTCTTCCTTCCTATTTTTCACTGTCCCTTGCTTCTATGACTGGCTCTTTCAGCTCTTCATACTTGGATTGGCCACCTCACCCTCTAACTTCTCATCAGAAGGCTTTACTCTTACAGATGCCAGAACCACCTTTTCCACTTATCATTAAGAAATGTTTCCTTTTGCAGATGACGGTTCTCCAAGGAACTGGGTCCCTACCACTCCTCCAACCACCAAACCTGCCCTCAACCGCAACAGCTTGGCTGATGCCAACTCGGCTGTCGGCTCTCACTGCTCATTGTAAGTTAAATGCAATACATCCCTCCGGCTTAATCCAATGCACATTTGCGAATCGTTCCTTCCAATTGCTTGATTGGATTCTGGCTGTAAGTTTCAGTGACTACAGTAGCGCTGATCCCTTGAGACTTTCTCGCACTCTAGTAATATGGGCTGACTCTTACTCCACATGTCTCTTGGCACGCGCTCCTGAGACCACCAGATCTGCTTTCTTTGAATTTCAAGCAGCGTTTTCCGCGATTCTTCTGCCTTTAAAACGGCCAAGTCAGCGACACCCCCTTTTCAGTGACTAACAGCAACTCCTTCCCCCCTCCCCCTCTTTGCAGAGCCCATTCCGTCCCCCCCCCCACGCGCCTGCAGCACCTCTCGCCCTGAGATGAGCTCTCCGCTCTCCCCCCCCCGTGAGAACGCCTCTGTCGACGCTCTGATCAGTGCTCTCGTCGCGGGCTCCTCAGGACTGGCCACCACCATTCTCCCCCCCCAGTACCCAAGTAAGTTTTTTGCCCCCCGCTTGGGCTTTTCTCTTCTCAGAGGGTGTTGATTTTTCTTCTGCTGAAAGCGTAATTGGCGCAATGCATGCATGCACGCTGAAAGCTGCAAAAGTTGGGTCAAGTCATGATCATTGTGAAGACTTTGCAAGTTTCTGAACCAGATTTGTTGCTCATTGCTTGCTGCTTCGGATTGGTGCTTTCAACCTTCTACCTGACCTTCTCTTTCTTGCATGTCAGAACTGGATCAATCCAATAGCTCTCTGTACTCAAATCCCAAACCTGCTTTTATTCAAGGTCGATCAGTCACACCGACCAACTCACACGACGGATGTTCCTTGCTGCACTTTATCCTGTTTTTCACTCCTTTCAAACAGGCCCCACTATTCTGACCAGATTCCATCGACCAGATCTCGAACTTGAAAAACTTCGATTTTTTCTCCTTCCTAAACGTGTTTCTTCCCCCTCCCCGCAGGCACTCCCGTTCCCGCCTCCTCCTTCAACCCTGGCAGCTACGTCGAAGCCGTCGCATCTGCTGCCACCCTCTCGACTCCTCCCCCCCGCTCCGCCTCCCCCCAGAGCATGGAGGCCCTGGTCGGGCTCGTCGAGAGCTTCGTCCAGCAGCAAAACACGCCAACCCTGCCCTCAACAGGGCCCCTCCTCTCGTCCCTCTTCGTCGACGAGAAGCCGCTCCCCAAAACCCCCCCGCCCAAAACCCCCACCAAACCCGCGATGGTTAAGGCTAACCTGGCCCTGGTCAAGGTGGACCCGGCCCCCAGCTCGGGGGCCCTGTCGGCAATGCCCTCGGAGGCGAGCGGGCTCACGGAGGCTGGGAAACCCGACGAACAGGCGCTGAAGCGGGGCCCCTTCTCCGAGGAGGAGGACCGGCGCTTCCTGGGCAAGTTGGCCGAGTACGGGCGCAAGATCACGTTCAAGAAGATGACCCAGTTCTTCCCCGGCAGGTACGCAGTTTTTCCTTGCCGATTCACGCTGTCAATCTTACTGATCTCGCTGACTCTACTTCTTTTGCCTCATTGACCGGTCTTGTTCGTCTGCTTGTGAACATGAAGGTCTTGATCTGGCAGGGTGCAAGCCAGATGGAAACCACTTTGACTTGGCTTTGCCTCCAACCTCAACCACCTCACGGTGTTTGGGCCGATCCATCTTCCAAAGCTGACGTTATTCCAAACACTCTGCTGACATCATCCCTCTCCTCCCCCGCAGGTCCGAGCGCCAGCTCCGCCGCCGCTGGGTGCGCCTCAAGCGCAAGCACAACATCGTCACCATTTCGGGGGTCCAGGAAGTGCTGGACCGGCTGCCCCCCATTCCGAGCGAGCCCGGCCCGATCACGCTGGAGCAGCTCGTCGACTGCTTCAAGCTCCCGATGCAGGACGCGTGTCAGAAGCTCTCGGCGGGACGCCCCCAGGTGCTGACGACGCAGCGCTTCCGGCAACTGTTCCAGAAGTACGGGATTGCGCGCTGGCCGTACCGTCAGGTGGGTGATTGGTTTTTCGCTTGGTCCTTCAGTTTCTTGTCTGTGTGTCTTTTAACCTTTGCGTTCCTATGTAGTAGCAATCTCAAAAAGGACTTCACGTGTTACCTGAAAGGCGATTACTGCCTGTCCCGTAATCACTTCTTGCTTCGAGTCCTGTCTTTGTCCCTTGTGGTTGACGGCTTTGCTTGCAATCTACCTCCTTAAACTTCGAACTTGCACTTTGAACCGATCATCCAGCTTAGCCTCAAACTAGAACTCTGCTTTTGAGACCGCAATCCCGAGATGTCTTTTCCCCAAATCCGCACCAATATGCTGATTCTTTTTCTCCCCCTTTCCAGGTCATGGCCGGCCGCCCCGTCCCCGAGATCCTCAAAGCCGCCGAGGAGGAGCGCGCGCGCCGCAAGCACCTCGAATCCGAGTGCTCCTCCGCGCGCAAAGCCCTCGGCTCTAGTTTCCCCAACCCGTCAAACCCGTGGAACCTCCCCGCAACCCCTCCCGACAACGACTCGGAAGACGGTTGGGGCGGCGCGGTGTCCGAATCGGACGACGAGAGCTCCGACTCGGACGACGACCTTTTGGACGCGGAACTGGACGCGCCGGACCGGTCCGTGACGCCCCCCCCGGCGCGCAACAACTCTTTCGGGGGGTTCCCGGCGCTGCCGCAGGGGTCCCCCCTGAGCCGGTGCAGCTCGGTGGTCGCGAGCCGCAAGGCGGGGATCGCCGTCCCGTCGTATCTGAACTTCTCCTCTCCTGCCAAGGAGTCGTTCCGCGGCGCGGAGGAGAAGGGCTCCAGCAAGGGGGGCAGCGGCTCCCAGGGGAAGTGCCCCCCCGTCCCGGAGGCGGACGTGTTCAGCGACATGGCGGCAGCCATGTTCCTGAATGACGCCAGCGACGACGTCATCCCCGGGGACGAGCCCGAGTGGCAGTGCCTGAGCATGCTGGTGGACGACGAGGAGGGCCCCAGCGGAATGAACGGAACGGACGGAACGGACGGTGGGGACGTGGGCCACAAGCGGACGGCCAGCGAGGCCGCTGACATGGCGCTGACGTCGGAGGAGGGCGCGCATAAGCGCGCCCGGTCCTGCTAGCGGAGCAGGCTGTACCAATTCCGCAAACCTAGATCTTAACCCCTGCTAGTTAGCGGTAGGCTTTGGACTTAACTACCAATAAAACCTAGGCGGAACGTCAAAGGTCGCTTGACTCCGCCTGCGCCCCCCGGTCTCTCCCCCACAGTTTAGCTTTGACCGAAAACGTGCCAGCGGGGCGGTTTTTCCGGGCGACTCTGCGGTTTAATACGTAGGCGCCGGCCGCCTGTAGAGGTGGACCGGCATAAGTGTTGCATGGGTGGCTCGCGAGTTTTAAAGCTTTGCTTGTGTACGGGCGCCGCGAGAATTGTTGTGAAGCAGGCTAACTGTACGTTAGAAGTTTCGAATAAAGTAGCCCGAGGTCAATAGACGAAGATTGACGAGATGGGCCCAAACCGGTCAGAGTTAGTTTCATGTAGTAGCATAGTATGGAGCTGAAAACAGACAGCTGGAACCGACACGTAATTAACGTTGAGTCAGAGACCGTCATGGCCAGCCAACCAGATTAATATGGTCTTTGGACCGACCACAAACAGGGATTCTCATCTTTGCTGAACGTAGCCTAATTCGTTTTTCCACGTCAATTGTCGAGGAAGTCCCTCAGCCTGCCAACACTGCACGTCACGCTCTACCTCCATCTTGATTGCATGAACTGCGAATGATCAGAGATTATGTCTTGATACACAGCTTCGGACTCATGGATTGATCTTAACGCCCTAGCTCGATCTCTAGCTCATGTGCATCCAAATTGAAAACATATGTGCAGCCGGTACAAGCCCAAGCATGATGTGCTTGATTTACTGCCTTTCACTCAATACAAGGCTGAGTGCAATAGTATTACGCAATCATTGAATAGTTTAATGACCATGTAGTGCAATTCCAAATTCTGGCCGATGATGCTTGCTTTGGCTTCAAACTTGCATAACGCAAACTGTCGGCTATAAACACTTGTCATGTGGCCAACATAGCTGCAATCAAGTCCTTGCTATTTTGGCCTACTTGGAACAAGTGACATGGGCTTGCAATGCAATTCAATGTGACTGATTGACCCATCAAGAATATCAATTATCTGCGCGACAAATGCGTACGGGGCAAAATGCGCCCGGCCCACGTACTGTCCGGTGCTTATCCAACTTGGAACACCGGTCGATCATGAACCACTGTGGTTGAAGGAGTACTTGAGCTGCACCAGTAAGTTTACATCCTAAAAGGAACGTTTCTTTCGTGGTGAAGTAAAGTATGGGCCATCAGACATACTGCACGGCAGCTTATTTAGCCTAGGCTAGAGTTCAAATCTAAACGTGCCGGTTTTTATAGAACATGCTCTGGCCAGATATATGACACCATCAGAGCCGAATCCTTGCTGAGAAGCACGCGATGAATACGTAGATTTCAGAGATTGCACAACAGCTTGCACTGTGGATCAGCCACGTCCAACTCACTATCCTCCCTCTAGCCGACAATCTTATTTAGCCTATCGTATTCAGGGCCCAGCTTGCGTGCCTGTACTTTAACTTAGTGAATAACGGTGCGCCCAGATTCATGAGCCGTGTTTCTGTTGATGACTTTGCGGGTCCCCAGAGCGCGACTTGCAAAGTTGCTTCGCAAATAAGGCTTCGCCTGACGCCGCGCCACACTGAGAGGCGGGGCTGTTGTTTGGCGTCCCACGAACATTCCGGACTGAACGATGCTGCCTTGAAAGGACAACTAAAGCGGACAAAACGAACCCAACTGCTCAGCCGGTTCGAGTCATTATACAGAAGATGCTTGTACAGGATACATCTCCCTTAGCCCCGAAGCGTTACAAAGTTTGCGAGGGCAATAAACGAATCAGTCACTTCAGGATCTTGCCAATGATTCAATATATCAATGCAAGTTTGGTCTTTGCAACTTCGACGGCGCCATGTGACGCGCCCCGCTGCGTCAGCAAACGGAGGCGGATTTTATCTGGCCAATGAGGTTTGGCCACCTGGCATGGGGTACATGCTGAAAGAGATGCACGTAGCCCTAGCTTTTAATTTGCATTATGCAACGCCTGTGATCGTCGTAAAGAAGCACTCCAGCTTTAATTTGCATTATGCAAGGCCTGTGTTTGGTCACATGACATGACAGCCCCCCAGTCCCATTGATTTTGCTCTTAATGAAGGGACGCCCTTTTGCGAAAAAGCTGCAAAGGGTCTAGGCAAAAGGCAAAGGCGCAGCCGAGAAAGCTGCTCGAGATATTTCTGGAACGCGCGGATCGTGCTGGCCCCTGCTTTTTGCTGCAAGAGAAGAACGGGGAGATCTTGGGCGTTTGAATAATAATTTTCAAGCCCGCTATACACGTGGTCCAAGTCTATTTACTACGCGTGACGCTGAGCGGAATACGAAGCGACCACTATTCAATAGAACGTCAACTGTACTGTGCTTGGCTTACACAGATCTGTCGTTTTGTGCAACCTTGGCTCAAAACGGACCGAAGCTTTTGGTCTCTGCTTCCTTCAATGGGCACTCAATGTCAACTTCCCATCCGAGATTAATTGAACGGAAGGCAAAAAGACGAAACTGTCAAACCCAGCTATCTTTATTGAATTCAAACGACCTCGGGTGAAGCATCGGCGTCCCTGTGTAAACCACTCAATCATCCGTCAAATCGTTCTTTAGACCCATTTCGCCACCCACGCAAACGTCACCCGAAGTCCTTTGCCCCTTCATCGCCTTTAATTGGTTCCGTCTTTGTACAGCCACATTAATTGCTCTTCTGGTTGCGGCGAGTAGTTCTGCGAACGCAGCGCACGATTATGAATCCCCGTGAGAGTCGCTCGAAACTTCTCTGTTTGCACACCGCGTGAATTCCTACGAGTCAGTGCTTTGCGGGGCGCTCGAGTGTCTTCATTCTCCTGCATTCAGTCACATCAGCCCGTCGGCTCAAATGCTAATCTAGAGAATATTAGGAGCCTTCTCAGGCGTCCATAAGCAGCCAGCCAAACGCGAGCCAAGTTCGTCTGCTCGACACGGCAGGACGTTATGTATTGTTCTCAATCACTCCGCGGCCTTAACTTTGTCGAAGATGTAGATCAAGCAAATGGTACTGGAAGGAAGGTCTCTCGCACAGATTAATCGAGTGCTGTTTCATCACAATACGAGCGTCTGCGAAACGGTCAGATCTTTACATCCCGCCTCGGATCTCGTCGAAAGTGATTTTCAAACGGTCACAGACAGTTTGTGGATGATTGGAAAATAACCTTGCAACTCATTGCGGCGAGTCATCCTGCGAAAGCGCCGCAAAAGGAAAAGGCGCAAGAGTCCGCTCGAGAATCTTAGAATGCGCATCTTTCTCCTCCTCCGTATGTTCTGGCAGGATCCTGCCAGATCAATCAAGCTCGCTAACGAGACGCTACTGGGACGTGATCTGGTCACGTCAAGAAGATGAAAAGCCCGGGAATCTACGTTTATTGGGTTGCTTCGATCTGTCTTGCTTCCGCTAATGTTGCGCGGTATTACGGTCCGTTGGGAGAGGAAGAGCCGTCACATCATGCTGCAAAATCGGATCGCGTCGCGCGCGCAATGAGTGAGTTTGAAGCGAAGCCCTGAAAATATCCGATCACATCACAAAAGTGCGCATTTGTGACGTCCCGTGGTGTTGTGTCCGCGTGACGATTGCTTCGCTCATGCATGGTTTTCAGATTTGTCCAATTACACGTCTTGCAGCGACTGCGCATACATTTTGCGCCTTGCTGACGAATTCACTGTCCCCCCATGGCTCATGAGGTGCTGACGCAACTCCGTAAATATCCAACAAACTTGAGCAATCAACGGAGAAATGCTTGACTAGCACTTTGGCTTTTGGAGCCGTCAACATGACGTCTGGCAGATGCAGCTTACCGCTCGAAGATCTTCTCAGGGATCTTTAATCCTCTGAAAGGTATAGAACGGCGAGATCACAGCTCTAATCAGGGTAGTAAAGCTTAATTCAATGTCGTCAGCATATTGTATTGGTTCAAGTTGGCTTCTTCGTTAGCAATGTCGCTGCGGTACTATGGCGTCGTTGTCGAGGTAAATTAAAGGTGACGTTCTCTTCTCATCATTGATGCTCTGTGATGCCTGGTATGCCGTATGGCATGCGTCAATGTCGAACTCAAGCTGACGTTCTCTTCTCATCATTGATGCTACGCGATGCATGGTTGATGTGTGCCATGCCACGCTGTCGAGGTAAATTGACGTTTTCTTCTCGTCATCCGCGCTGCGAATGTTTGATGCGGATCGGTCAGCCAATCCATTCTCGTGATTTGCTGAAGAACGCTCAATCGAAACTTTTGACTAATCACGTCTGGTCTACAGAAGCTGCTCAGAAGAATGGAAGACGACGTATACCTAGATGTTCTGAAGCCACGGCTGAACGTCACGTACTAGCCTGGCGGGAAATTTCGCTCCCTAGCGCAACCATTGACGGTAACGGCAGCCTTGTTCGCTTTTGTTTTGGTGACGTGTCCCCTTTCGTGACCATCTTGTTGAATCCAGGTTGAGTGCTCTGAGACGGGCATGCTAGTTATCGCACTCAGGCAAATCGGATGGGAATCATACACGTGGCAGCTTATCAGAGGAACGGCGGCTGACTTGACGTCTCGACGTTTCACGGAGGTAAAGTGGGAAGGGCTGACCGTTAATGGAATCCGGATTGTGGACTCTGCTTAATGGTGATATGAATTTCGCCAAGTTAAAAACAACGAGCTTGGCCGTCTTCATAGCAAACCAGTGAGAGGCACGAGATCGAGGCTTTGACGTTTTAAGCTACCATACGACCAGACAGATCGGTTCGGTCTGGTACGGCCAGCTTTTGCAGGCAGTCATTGAAGCTCAGAACTCTGGCACTAGATTCTGTCGGGGTTAACCGAACGAGCTTGAGAAAACTTCAAGCTCGCGGCCAGAGAAGGGTGGCCATCAAATCCGGAGCTCCAAGGAATCTGTACTTTGCCCGTAGGTTTCAAGTGACTCCCGCACAAGCAAGGACGATACGAGCAGCCTTCGATGAACTAGTAATCTGTACGTTGATGAATCTTGTACAGTCGGCTCAGGATATTTCCGACAAGGGACAATGCCCGATCGACCCGCCCTCATTGATACAGAAGCTCTCCAATTTTAGCTATGCATCCAGGATTTTTGAGAGCAGCATCGCCTCCATAAGATCGTATGCGTAAACAGATGGTAACGCAGTGCTCAATGTGCTAGCAAGCTGATGTAATCTCTTCATATTTTTGGACGTGCAGCTGTGAATTTGATGTGCAGCTGTGAATATGGCGTGCAGCCACGACATTCAAGCTGACAGGTCACAGGGGCAGTGCACTAGAGCTGAAATTACTCCCATTGCTAGTTCGGCATCATTCAGTGATGGATTGACTCAATTGACTCAGATATAGTATCACTTGCAGATTAGGTAGGAGCTTTCAGGAGCCTTCCAGTCATGGTCACAGGAAATACAGGTAACACCTGCGCCGTCAACGATTCGAATCAGGTTCCTGCAGACAGCAATGAGAGAACTCCATGCTAGAGGCTACGTAGCCCGAGCTGATCAGTAGCGCTTCACTGGCAGTCTGCAAAGGATACCAGTACCCGAATATATACATACCCTACCACTGGTGTAAACGTATGTAGCAGTACGTGTACTAGCAGAACGTGTGATACTACTGATGTAGCACGGCTCTACCTACACAAGAAGCATGTACACGACAAAGAAGTCTATCTGAGGTGATGAGTGCGTCACTCGGAAAATGGATGGTCCGGCCACGCATCAAGCATGTAGGTAAGTCCCAGGCTCCACTGAGCGGGGCTCCAGCTTTGCACGATCAGTGCACCAGTACTGTTGTTCTGCACTTACCTAAAAGTGGTGGCTGGCCTGAAACCATATTAAGCCTGCAACGTATCTGATCTGTAGTACGTGTTTTAATACATACCTTAGCTCGGGGCAGCTCGGGACAAACACGTCAGTGTTCGTCACTACATTTCGCTCAAAGATAGGCAGAACTTTCAGGGAGCTATCTGGTACGGGTCTGGTACGGTCTCAGCCTGGGTGTTTCGTACGGCGTATCTTGGAGATCAGCTAACCACGCCGGGCTTCTTCTGAACATTGTCTATGAAGCGCGGAGGTACTGACGAGAATATTGGTGATCGCCCTGTACCGTGTTGCTGGCAAAAGCAGCTCATGCTGGTAAGATTCGCTGAACCCGGTAGAGTTGGCCGAGCCAGAGGTTTTCTTCGGCTTTGGCCCTAGCTCGGGCAGGTTCCAGCATTCCGGCACAGCCTTATGTGCACGGGAAAGTGCTCTGAGCACTCGCCGGGGGACCGAAAAAGTGCAAAAAGTGCTCCAAATATCTCCTGAGTACGTCATCATTCGGGATTCGCGACCTCATGCGTGTCACACATTAAGTTCACCTGACGTCATGGCTTGCGCAATCTAGTGTGCCCATGTGGCAATTGCGTGATAGATCCAGCCAAATCCGCATAATATCGTCCACCTTAATCTCGCCGTGATCGTAGAAGGGGAGAGCAGTCAGTCGCCGAAAAGTCTGGTGCCTTGTTTCTTTCCGGATAAAGGTTTTCAGGGCAGGTAAATATTATTGCCCCTACTATGGCCTACGGTAGTCATGAACTCATGCACCCATACCTACTACCGGTAAATTCACCGTCGTATCCTGTATAGGTACTAGGTATGTACATAGGTATAATACTACCTAATTTGGCAGAAGACCTACCCTAGGCTTCAGCCTCCATGCAGACTCGGAGTGCATCCCCCCTGCATGCATGTCTAACGCAGCTCTGTTTGGTCTGGTTCTGATATGTACGTTCAAACATGCATGCCAAGTCGGTCACAGCCTTGTCAATCCCCTGTCAATCGAGCTGCCAAAATCATGGCGCTCCGAAAGGGCCTGAAAGAGGGGCCTGAAATTTTGCTATTATTGTTGACAGGATCCAAATCAATAATTGACACGAGTCACAGCTAAATCCAGATCAGACCTAGGCCAGGGGCTGTTCCCCGAGCGACGGCGACGGTTGCGCCATCATGCATATTGGCGTGTCGCTCGGCGGTACGTACCTGCTAGGCAGCATGTGTAAGAGTGAGTCAGTGAAGTACGTTGGTGAAGGCGCAGAAGGTAGGTACCGCTGCGCTCTTTGACGGTCACCGCAACCGTCCCGCCGCACTCCTGCGGCGGCCCGGCGGCCCGGCGACCCCTTTTCCGAAATTTAATCATTGAATGTCGGAGAGAAGTTACTTGATTTCCGGAGCAAGTCGGACTGACTTGCCCGATCGACTGTGATTGGGCGGCAGCTCCGAGTATAAAGCAGCACAAGCTAGATCCATGTTGCAAGCACTCCAATCTAATGCTAACACATGTATCTTCTCGATTTATACGGCACGAGATGATCCGCTCTGCCTTCCTGTCCCCAAATATTTCAGAATCTTCATGCAATAGGAAGGCAATGATGCAAGAGTAGGGTGGTGACTGGACAAAATGGGAACTGAGTTGACAGCCCTTCCCTTCTCGTCATCCTATCCCCATCTTGACAAAAAATGAGATGAATTTGAGACAAACCCATGTACCATGCAATCATGTATGAACAATCTGAACTGTATGAATGAAAGACTTGAGGCCTGCCGTCTTATTTAGAAATGCTGTCTTTGTAATTGTCCGGATTGGATGTGGAAATCCGACACCGCTACTGTAGGACCTAAAGTTCATCTATGAGGTGACTCTAACTTGGGGGCTGGGCCAGAAGTGAAACATGAGAGGCAGAAACCAAACCCTATGTATGCATAGTCTAGTCTTATGCATCAGAATCACAAGCAAGCTTAGCATCACGCATAGATTCAAATCAGTTTTCCCGCTTTCCGCAAAGCTTCCGCATTAATCAGGATCTTCGTGCCTGGGGGATAGGAGGTCATACCTGAGAGATGACGAGAGAGAAAAGGTTGTCAGTCTTGAACCTGCAAATAGACTTCAGTGGCTGCGGCCAGAGTCAGAAAACCCAATACGGAAGATCTTCGTAGAAAGCTCAGAACTGGTCGACTTCTGGCCCAGCCCCCTGTCGTGCGTCGCTATCTCGTGCCTTTTTGCTAGCAATCTTGAGGAGGAAGCGCCTCTGCGCTTTGACTGCTGATAGTGTGACTGCAAAGCATTTCTGCTCTGTCTCGCGAAGCAGAAAGAATGGATGCTTGACGAAGCGTGAAGCATCGTCAGTCTTCGCGGAGGTCAAGCAGCGGTCAAGTTTGAACGGAAACTAGGTGACGTGGCATAGTTGAGCTGACTCGGATTAGTTCGGCCTAGGTCTGACCGTCGATTTCAAGTTCCGTGACCAGGAGTTTGAAATCAAGGGTTTAAACATACACCTGGACCTGGCGCGTCATTGTTGGACGCGGCCGCCGCCGTTGTCGCGTCCGCTGCCGACGCGTTGGAAATCGCGTTGGCGGCCGCGGACGTGTTGGCGGACCCGTTCTGTGAGTGCTTCTTGTTGTGCTGGCGTGTCTTAGGGCATTGAGGGGTTTTCACACCGTCTGTCGGAGCTTTGGCGAGCAGGGCCTGAAGGCCTGAAGATTGAGAAGATAGAGAAGTCTGCAGGTATCCTTCAATTGAAGGTAAGCAGGTGTGAATTAATTCTCGAATTATTGCATCAAAACGAAGGTGTGGTTTCTGAATTGCATTAGAAACCACTTATTTTCGTTTGAATTTTAAAGGTGAAAATTCAGTGAGTTTTGAGTTCGACTTGTCAGTCGTGCATGTTAGTACACGAGGTGGTAGAAGAAGTGAAAGATTATTGGTTTTTTGACTTTGTAATGCGAACGTAAATATGTGGTTTCTAATGGCCCGCCACCACCCGTCCTATTGTTGCGATGCAACTTAGGACCCATCAGAGAGGAAAAGTTATGTGCCATATCCTTTTGTGAGCGCTCCGAGAATTTCGGACGTAATCAGGTTATTCCGTTCGCAGGAATGAAGTAACCTGATGACGTCTTTAGTGGTTTGAAATTGAGAACCTGTTGGTTTCCCAGTGGATGGCTTGTTAGCCATGTTGTCGGATTTACTGAGCCAACGTACATTATCGATTGTATAATCTCGTAACGGATCTTTCCGATCTAGTTGAAACTGAGAGGAAGCGTCAATGGGCCATAGTGGAAGCGCCCCGAGGAAGAGGTCAGTGACGTAAGCAAACGTAAAGAAAGCATATTTATCTCTTTGGCTAGAGATTTTGCCTTTAGGAAGATAGAATCCTTTCCAGCCAAACGTCAGCCGAGTGGTTGCGTAAGCCGGATCAAAATGAACTCGATTAATTAAAGATTCCCACTTGTCATAAGCGGGATGATCTGTATTTTTGACAACTTCCGAGCGACCATTTTTATATTGTCGAAGTTTCAGAGGGCAGGATTTGTAAACAGGTGACTGGTATCTTAATAAACATGAGTCGAGCTGATGTAACTCGTTCTGCTGGTACAGAATAAACTGGGATATAAGTGGTACGTTGGGATTTTTGTAGGTTTCCTGGTAAGAAAACCTCGCGATGAGTTGGTGGATTTGTGGGGGTAAAGTCTCGCGCTGAGAGAGTCCGCCTGTTTGTGAGAGATTTAAGTCCGAATTTGGCACGGAAGTTACCAAGCGGGATTCAGATTGGGAGAAGAATAATTTTCTGAACCGTTTTGGAGCTTTTTTAAGAACTGACGCACGCGGTGGGCAGGCGCCTCCAGGTGGCAGACTGACAACTGCTGACGCGTGTGTGACAACGCCGTTTGTCACAAAAGAGGAGTCGACTGGGAATCGCATATAGCACGTGAGAAAAAACGCGTGTTCGTCGTTTCTTCGATTAAGTCCTAATGATTGTAATGTCGACACTTCATCTGAGAAGCGTGTGGTGGGTCGTGAGTCAAAAAGATCAAGCATATTGTGATTCCCATCAAGTTCACGTGGGCGGCAGTACATTGTGGCAATGATGACAAGTAATCCTTCTAAAGCTGTTTCCAAAGGAGCGGATATATTCAAGTCTAAAAGCAGGCGTGCTTTTGACGAGCGAGCAAAGATCGTTTGATAAGAAGAGTCGAGAAGCGATAGTTTACGTTCGTTTTCCTCTTGCAGCGTCTGGTTCTCCGCCTGGAGCGTCCCCATGGCCGTCTGCAGCGAGCGCATCTGGTTATCTTTCTCCTGCTGGGTTTGCTTGAGCTTCTCCATGTCGGTCTGCAGGCCTTGGGTGAGGAGGGCGAGGCGGCGCATCTCATCCTCTTGGCCTTGTCGGGAGTTTTCTTGAACGAGGGCTTGGAAGTTAACCGGGGGGGCTGTACCGGGGGTGGGTTCTGCCTGGGAGGGTTTCCCGTGGGTTGCGTTAACCGGGTTTGCTGGGGTGGTTGCGGCAGCCGGTGTGACCATGACTGCCGGAATCTGCTGAGTTGTCGGAATCGGGGTGTTATCTGGAGCGGTGTTGACTGCTTCCGCGGGGACCATGGGTTTGGGGGGGTTGGTTTTTTCGGTGCCAGACTCTGCAGCGTCGGTTTCGCCGTAGGTTCCGGGATTGGTCTTCACTTGTGTCTGCCACTCTTTGTGACGCGCGAACGCCTTGGATTGACGAACGGCTTCCCGGGCCTCTGCGTGGCCGAGTAGGCAGCGTGTGTCGAATGGGCATTTCTCTTTTGGGGTGTGGAAGGCCGGGCAGGGTCTTTCCGTTTTGGGCACGTGGGAGAATTTGCATCCGGGTTCGGGGCAGGGTTTCTCCTGGGCGGTGTTGACGCAGAGTTGTGTGAATTCCCCTTGAACCGTCGTGAAGTACGGCATCACCGACTGCCTATACACGGTGGGTTTGGCTGCGGGTTTTTCATAGGGCGGGTTATTCTGTGGGCGCGTTGTGCTGCCACGTGGATTCTGCTGACGTGGGTGGTTTCGCACTGGACCACCCGGGGGACCGTCTGGGCGGGGGTTTACTGGCTCGTTGGGAGGAGTCCGTCGCGTGTTCCACTGATCGTTCCGTTGCGCAGGTTGGAACTGTTGCGCATACGTAGGGCGTGACGTCGGTGGAGCTAGGGGTGGGAAGTCTGTGCGGTGCTGGGTTTGCATCGGGTACAGTTCAATTCGAGGGTTTGGGGGCTGGGTATTCCGGTTCCATTCCTGTGTTCCGGTTCCGTTGTTGCCCGTTCCGTGTCCGCGTTCCCATCCTGCATCATGACCCCATTGCCTCTGCTGTTCTGGTTCCCACCCCGGACCGGGTCTGTGATAACCACCGTTGGAGGGGTTTACAGGTTGGCTATGGTGAATCACGGGGCGGGGGTTAGGCTGAGCAGGCGGGTAGGACTGAGCAGGAGGCGGGGGGTTCTGGTGGTAGGTCGGGGGATTGGGTGGAGTGTATGTCTGCTGGGGAGGTGGGTTTGGTTGAGCCGGAGTTTGGTTAGGGTACCCCTGTGGTTGAGGCGCAGAATATTGCGTCACGGGGTAGAATGGTTGAGGAGGGGGCATTGGGGCTGGGGGAGGGGGAAGTGTCTGGACGGGATTCTGTGTCGGGACGGTGGGAGCTGGGACCGGCTGAGCGTAGACGAACTGGGGCGGCGGTTGCGGCGGAGCTGAGGGAGGTTGGACGGGTTGCTGCAGGGGTTGTGGTTGGATGGCTGACGTCATCACCGTATAACCGGGGGGCGCGTATGGGTAGGGAAACATCGTTCCTGTGTGAAATAGAGGATTGGAAACTCAGGTTTTGAGTTTTTGATTCAAGTTGTAACGAAGGATGAGCTCCAAGTCCTTCTTGTTACCCATGAGTCTCGGATTGAAGACTTGGGTGTCAAGAAATTTAGAGAAAGTGGAGAGTAATTCGTTCTGAGGGTAGCCTTTAGAGCGAATTAAGTATGCTGCCACGTCAGCAACATTGTCAAAGAAGCCGTCAAAGTGTGTGTTCAGTCTAAACAGCCTGACGATCTCTCCGTAAAAAGAAGAAATGGACTGTTGCAGGGAAGCAGTTGATGCAATATCTGGAAATCGGTTAACGAAGAAGTCATAATCAGCTCGTTTGTCGTGTAAAGTGACGTGGACTTTACCGTTAAGATCCACGAAGATCAGTGTATCAAGAAGTTTACACTGTACAAGGCGTTCAGGATGAGGTTTAACTTTATTTGGGATGAGTTTGATACCCGTGCTTTCTGGATATATGTCGCGGTACATATCTTGGAAATATTCTGCATTTGTGATACCAAAATCATCCATGTAACGGAAGATAAGGTATTGAAGCGAGTGCCAAGGAAATTTTTCTACCCACTGACGTTCATGTGAGTGGCACGTCAGATTGGCGAGGAAGCCACTGGAGTGACCTCCTTGCGGAATTCCGTTGATCTGATGAAAGATTGCAGTCCCTAGAGACACGTAGGAGTTCTTAACTAGGAATTCTAAAATGTTGAGGATATTTTGGATAGGATATACTGCGCCTTTGCTGCAGTATTCTTTTTCACTGGGAAGAGTTTTAGTGAGTGGGTCGAGGCCTGATGTGCAATCAAACCAAGATCCGTTGTCTATGCTGTTGCCAAGGCTGGTGTTGCCGATAGCAAGAAAGAAAGAATCAGCGCCAGCAATCGAGGCAGCCCTGTTAACCTCAGTTCGAAGTTGGTTTATTACGTTCGCCTGGTCCATTTTTTGATACATCGATTCGATATCTGATGAGACCATGTGGACCAGATTTTCGGGGAGTGAAAGGATGATGTCTAAGCTGTTTTCGACGATCCAGTACTTACGGATCTTAGTCGTTCTGAATTCTTCAGCATGAAAGTCTCGTAGAGTTTGCATAACTAAGTGAAGGGCTTGAGTTAGGAGTCGCTGTGGCAAGCTGAGAACGGAGCGATGCGTGGCTGCAACTGGTCTCCATCCGATAGGTGTCTTATGAGGTTTGGGGAGGGTGTAGAAGTAAGGGAGTTCAGCCGTTTCATTCTGGAAGAGCATGTGGAGGTGTGTGTGATGGACCAGTCCGGAAATCTGGTCTATAAGTTGAGTTGCGAGTTCGTCTTTTGAAAGTGCGAGTCTTTGATATTCTGGAGCAGTGTGCAGTGTAGTTACTGTAACGGCGCTAGCTTTCCGAGCCCCTCGCGGGGAT